GATTTTCTCCTGTCACTTTCTCGTCATCCCTGACGTGCTCTCCGTTGTTTTTTTCCTGCCAATTTTAGCAGCTAGCTTCTGTATCACGTGGTATAAGGCTCCGCCCTCGTCATTTGTTGAGCAGGAAGCGTGAGCGCTCGTTTTCATGCAGATTATGTCCCGGATCAAAATGCGGTACAATCGTCGTCTTTTTTTTTTTTTTTTTAATCGTTGTCATTTGGAAATGAGATCGCACATAAGTATGAATCGAGATCGTGATTTTCTAACGATTAATCGTGTAGCTCTAAGATTTTTTTGAATGAAAAAAGTAATCATGTTGTGAGCTGTTATTCGTCTCTAGTAAACCTTTTGTTATAAGTTTTGATTACCCGCTCTCTGAGGACATGTTTATAAGCTGAAGTGTGTTCATGTGTGTTTTGAACTGATGTTATTCCTTAAAGACGGCCTAATATTTGCCTAATCAGCACTAAATTATTATTCTTGAGGTAAGTAAAGTAACGTTGAATACTTCACACTTCAGAATAATCCTGTTTACGTAATGCTGGCCTTCATCGTCAGGGGCAACCTCCCAGATTTCCTCTGATAGGCTTTGAACAGGTTTGAACAGTGGGTGGGCGATATATGAACTGTGTGTTGGACATGAAAATACAAAGGCAAGAGTTGAGTTCAAAGCTGGCCGTGTGAAGGCAGAAATGGACCAAAATGCAGACTCACAAAGGCAAGAATAAACTGAGAAGGCAGTTTTATTGCTGAACACCAGAAATACAAAAACTAACTAAACTGGGAATACGCATGAAACTAAACAGGTGGGAAGGCAGAACACTCGGCAGGGAACGAGACGGATCACGACGCTGGACAGACAGAAACAGAAGGCTTAAATACAGGAAACACATGGGGAACACAGCTGAGACAAATTAGACACAAAGAGACAGAAGAAGCGAAACTAAACACACTGAACATGGAACCAAGACCGTCAAAATAAAACAGGAAACACTAAGACGCAGACTAACTCCCAACATGACACGGGAACTGAGAGGAAAGCACACTCAGGGAAACAAAAGGGATTCAAGACAGAGAGAGCGAGAGGAGAGACATGATGGTCTGGGAAAAATAGATGGGGGGAGCGTGGAACGACACACAAGGAGGGGAACATGGGAACAGAAGAGGGAAACAAGACACAAGGGCTCACACAAACACACACAAACAAAGACACACACAGCGGGACGCGGCAAACTAATTATAATACAAAAGACACCAAAACAGCACGGTGGCACGGTGGTTAGCACTGTTGCCGCACAGCAAGAAGGTC